TATGGAATGGTCGGTCATGCATGGTTTGGTCATATTAATGATTGGTCTTAGTAAATAGTTACTTGATTCACAATAGGCGCTGCCAACTTTTTGTTTATGATTATAATTATGAGGCATCATAGTGGCAAACAATTATTGTATTTTCAAATTCGTAGGCGTAGTAGTAGGCGTTTTTTTAAAGGTACAAAAATAAAAAAGTGCATTGAAGTGTCCACTGCTTTCCACCAGATATTTATGGTAATAAAAACCAATATACAAGTTACACTGACTCTTCTACATCAAGAAGATCCGATATTAATGGGTTGGCCAAACGTGGATTCCCCAACCATCTAGCGTTGACGTTTCAACGATACGTCTAGTTTTAGTTGGCTATATTGAAACAGGAAACACAATCATTTTATGAAATAGTCCCGTGTAGTGACGGATTAAGAATACGGAATGTCACTACCCCAATTCATCCCGTGGGTGTCGTAAGAGCCGACTAAGGGCGCAAAACAACGCAGGTCACCAGCACTGCAAAAAGAAGGAAAACTTGACACAAACCCTATACCAACCCGTCTGGCCAGCGTAGTGTAGTAGGCCAAAACCTCCTTTCTAGGGAGAGGCCTATGTCCAGCAGTGGACTATTAAAGGCTGATGATGATGATGATGATGAAATTGTCGAACACATCACGAAGTCGTCAATTCTGAGTTTTGTTCACTGCATATTAAAATTATAATAAATTAATAATAATATAATTTTTAACACGCCTACTAGGGCCTAAGGGCCCAGGGTTTATTTCAAGTTTTCCTTCTCTTTGCGGTTCTATTGTCAAGCGTAGCTTGCTCCCTTAGTCGGCTCTTACGACACCCACGGGAGGAATAGGGGTGGTGATACTTTTTATTCGTAATACGTCACCACAATAATAAGCACATTCATAACACCAAGTAATGTAAAAGAAATTCAGTTATTTGAGTGCTTAATATAATAGAGGTCTCAAGAATTAATATACTTATACATAAAATGTTAACGTACATTAACGTTATATAGCACTTCCCTCTCTCGCAACAAAACTAATTAATTAATCTGAACAAATATATATATATATAAATATGACTTATAATTCCCTTTTAGTCCCATCCTTCTATCAATACGTTAATTTTTTATCCAAGTGTCCGTAATTCCTAGGTAAATTGAAGGTGATATACAGCATATAAGACAATCACGTCTTTCACAAAGAGACTGTCTGAGCTCAGTCTTATTACGTCACTGAATATTATTAAGTATATTAAAATAAAATATAAGGTCTATTTTAGTTTAATATAAGTATTTTAACTCATATATTTTTTCTTGCGGATTGGTACGGTATTGATGAAATGAGCTTAAATACAGTTGTACTATTTTTTGCTAAAAAATACCTATTCGCTGCTTGTAGTGTCTTTCTAGCATGTTTTACATTCTATTTCTAAATTATAATTGAACCAAATTTTCATTTAAACGAAATGAGTTTTTATAAAAGGTTTTGAAATGAAATTTCTTTAGAATCGTTGTAATTTAACACTTGATGAAACGAAAATGCGTCACGATAAAGAAACAAACACATAAATGTATAGGAATTACTCGGCGAGAGAATGAGATAGAATACATTACACATTATTTTTAATATAATGTTTTGACAGTGTGAACATTTGTGGTGGTCACACAGTGGAATTTGAAAAACGCTGCCTTAGTGGGTTCGATTTCAGGGCCGAAAATTTTATTTCGGAAGTTTCATTCTGCCCTGTGTGAATTGCACACACACACACTTTTTTTTTAATTAATATTATTAAGTACCATAAATATTGTTGTTCGGTTATATTATTGTCGTGGCCTGCTGCTGCAAACATACATTTTGCAGTTATTAATGTTACTAAAATGTAATACATAGTTACATATCATGCACTCATCTAAATACAATATATATATATCAACAAAATAAACACAATTATATAATACATACTACTATAATACATATTATTTAATAAATCTAAACCAAAATAATAACAAAAATCTTTCAAAGAAGATATGCATATATAATAAATATTAGTAAATGACTTTGTTCAAAAATCCTATTCTTTAATTAATTATAAAATACGTTTAATTTGTTTCTATTGTTAAAATTGCAAGAATAATGCTTAGAAACATTGACAAGAAATAAAAAGGTGACTACAAACTCAGCCACCCACCGGGTAACCCACGATCAAAGGCGCGAATAGAACCTTGTATGTTTATTTTTTGTATTGAATAATTATTTAGCAAACTAATGTTTAGCAGAGCATATTTCCTTGGAGTAAGATAATTATATCTAGACTAGGGAAGGCGAATAGGTCCTATCTACTTCTAAACTTGAACTTTTATCATAATGCAAAGTAATAACACATTCATTAACGAAGTTTTTTTTTGTGATCCAATTTTCTGGTTTTATTCAAGTTTCAGCCACTTTCGGGCCGTCGGGCAGTCTTATCGCCCCAAATCTCCGGCTTAAACAGCAATTTAAAGTGGTTTTGAACTGAAGTGCTACTGAGCCAAGGCCTCTTCTGTTCTACAATGGATCCACTTGACTGTGTTTGGTAAATTAAAAAAGTCGGCAAAAGTCCTCAAAATAGTTACAAGGTGGAGGTTTAATATAAACTAACGGGGACGTTACTTGGCCTACATTCGATATTACGTACGTAAGTACAAAATGTTGTGTAAGTTCCGACAATTACAATAGTTTATTCAATACATATATAGCGTGGTTTCCTACTAACCCACTAACGAAAACGCAATAGTTACTTCAAATTATTGGAATTGCCTTTAATCACTAGGAATTATATTGACATATGGCAATAATCAATTTTGTGTAATCGCTGTTTCGATTATGATAATTGTTATAATAGTTATTGAAACGTTTTGGGCGTGACAATCGACGATTTATTTTATTCTAGGTTTACGATTTATGAGAATAAAAAAACCATCATAAAAAATATCAACAGATGTCATTATAGATAGTATTGCGCATCTGTCGTCTTATAAATGTTATCGTTCAGGAATTCATTTTTTAGCGTAGTATTTTTGATTCTTGCAGCAAAACCTCCGTTAATACTTTTCGCAGCGCAAAAGAGGCCCCTTCCTATTATGTAGCTATTAGTACATTGGAGAAAAGATGTAGTTGATAAATGAATAGTGTTTTAATCATAATTTTATGTTTAGTTACATCTCGTAGTGGTAGCGTCAAGTAATGTATCATTAATTACTGTGTTTTTTATTGTTTGTTACAATTGAATGAAACATAAGTCTTTTTAGTAGCTAAGTACTTGATTAGGTGACTAGTTTGTTGTTTAGGTAACTAGACATAAACGGCGGTGATAACTGAGCACAAACGTAATACGAGGGCTGCTATTTCTGTATCCGCAACTGGCCAGTTACAGTACAATATTAAAAAAGTCATTATAACATTTACAAAATGGAACTCTTTATCTCTATATTATATATTTATCCTTTGTGTCGTCATTTTGCGTGTCTTTATCACTATAGATTTAACTCGTGAAAATATTCGTGCTATGATTACGATTTTCGGAGAGGGCTAACTCAAAAACAGTACTTCGATAAACTTACTTCGTCTTTTGGGGACGAAGCACCATCTAAAAGAACTGTGTATCACTGGTTTAGTGAGTTTAATCGAGAGCTGTGATCACGGACGAATTTAAAGGAGGGCGCCCTAAAACGGTTATTGTACTTCAAAATATTGAGCATTACAAGACCGTCATGTTACATATCGCGAGATAGAGGCGTTTTTGGGAATAAGTATGACGAGTATATTATTATTTAAAATATTACACGAACATTTAGCTGGATCTTAATGGATTCAATAGAATGTTAAATGCAGTATGAATAATTGTAACTGGGTATGTTAATTACAACAAATATTGTCACCCTTTGAGTTTAATAAATATTGAGTTATCATCTCTGGCACTTTTTCACGATTGCTGGACATCTAAACTCATATCTACATAAGTAATCAAACATCAGTCAGTACAAATAACTATTAATAGCATAAACCTCCTGAATCAGCAAAATCACTGCACATTTACTAAACAAGGAATTGAATTTGTATTCGAAAATGTTCTTAAACGTGAAACTTGACAATCAAAGTCTGTTACTATTCCTGCCAGTGTTCTTGAATAATAAATATGTGTACCGGCAGATAGTGGGAGCATGTGGGCGTCGGGGTTTGCACTGTTCACATTATTCGCCTACACACTTTAAACGAATATTTTTATTTCATTTTACACCATCTTTGTTTCAAATATCTTTGTGTTTGTATTAACTACTAGCTTAATGTTGTTATGTCGATTATCACTATGAAAAATTGCATATATCCTTCCTAAAATATCAGAGTATCTCCATGCGAAATTTCATGTAAATCGGTTTAGCGGTTTGGCCGTGAAAGCGTAAGGGACAGACAAACTTACTTTTAAACTTATAATATGGTAGGGATTGTACTGACTCCTCGCTTTTTGCGTCCACCATGTTTCTCAAATGACCTAATTTTGATCGAGAAAATGTTATTAGTTTACTGTACAACATTTTCTTTCTAAAGTTCGGTTGAACAGTTCTATACTGTTTTACGAAGTAAACTGAAGGCTCGTATTTAAAACACAAAGCGCGTCCATTGTTAAACAGTTTGCATAATATCTAGAACAAATTACGTTACCAGCCAGTGTGTAAAGTAAACTTTGAACAGAATTTATAAATTAATTTGCTTTATAAATTAATCAGAAGGCAAACGTGTGTTCGAAAGTAGCTCGATGTGGATGTAAATTTATTATTAAAACGCCTACCGAGATTGCAGAGGGATTAGTCTACATAAAACATTATTGACAATGAATAGCAAATGAACCAACTTATACATGCTACTAAGTTCCACATAAATATAAAGCGAGGTGTAAGTATATGAGTACTTAATTTTAACATATTACTTGTTGCCGCAGGTACTCACCTTGACACTGTGTGTCTTTTATCACGAACAGCAAGAACGCCGTGATTGTCACAAATCTCCAGCGTCGCCTGGCCATAGTTGTGATTAAGTTTCACCGTGTCATTGATAATATATCATACGTCACTAAAAGATGTTTAAAGTTCCTCAGACGTTCCCTGAGATTTGGAGAAAGCCATCTTTGGCAGTTGAAACTTGAACAGCGATCGCTACGCCATGCCGTTAGGTCTGTCACATCTGGAACAAAAAGATAAGCCGATGAAGGATAAAGAACCTTTTATTGAGCATAAAGATGTTCGTCCAGGACATAAAACTTAATAAAACGTGCAAAAAGTAGGTTAACAGATTCATAAAAACATTGAGATCGCATAAATATTTTTTATGATTAATAAAGTCACTGGATGTGTCGCTGCATTTATTGATTATCGAAAAGAAAAATTACGAGTACAATGTGGGTAAAATTCTTATTGCACCAATGTATGTGTGCATAAAAGTTGAAATATCATCCTTATGTAATAATGTAGTATCACCCAAGTTCAGCAATGCTGAAACCTAAAGGAAATTAAAAAATTTATGTTTTAAAATATTAAAATGTTCCTAAAATATAATAATCCTATTCACGAATATTGACCATAAGACAACGTTTGTATTTAAATTTATAGAATTCACTGAAACTTTTTTGCGGGTATTATAAAAGACTGATGTTTTACAGCTCCACAATTTTACTAATCATGCATTAAATAAACTAGTGCCAGTAATCGTGACAGGCCATCGACACATTCTTAAACCAATTGATATTTAATCAACAAGAAACCCAAAACGAAACTGTCAGGTAGCAGTAAAACTTTAACCGATAGCTTAAGCACCATTGAAAACAGATACAATTTCAGATAATTAGAACAATGTCCGCAGGCGGTTTCTGACATGTTACTATAAAGTTTATGTGACAGCCTTCAATACTTGAGCGAGAGCGAACGTGACCATAGCAGTTGTCGATATCAGCTGTCTTTAGAATTATTTTGATGTTGAAATTTTAGTATGTTGGTTAATTAGATTTGTAATGTATAAACGTTTGATGAAATGAATATTTAGCTATAAAATGAAGCTCATTCTACTGCAGCTGTTAGTATTATTGTTTTCTTGTTGTAGATAAATAAATCTTCATTCTTACTATATTCATTTATTGTTTAAATTAAATTATCGCAGCCAATTAATGTCCTCAGAGATATTACGAAAAATAAGCAAAGGACAAGTAGATCCGTGTTAAGAGTGTACGCTAATAAGCTTTTAATTCTGTTATTCTTGACTTTAACAAAAGTAAATATCATTGTAGAGATGACCGTGCACATATAGAGCGACAGGACGGAAAGCATTTCAGTGAAACACTCGCTTTGATAACCTGACAGCAGTACTAAGGACCGGCAAATATCTATTGTCACAGGAAAGTAGCAGGTGACACTGAAATTTTGTTTTATAAATTATGTTTATATGCTACTTCTGTTCCTGGTCATCGTCTTAGTTAATTTTACTTGAGAGAGTGCCTCTATATCCTGTGTTCTGTTGTTATTATTGCAATATTATGAATGTTTTGTAAGTATTTTTTTTATTCAACAAAGAAAAACCAATGTAATTGGTTTTTGTTTTGTGTTGGTTGTGTTATTATTTGAAATATTCCAATCATTTAACTCTACGATATTGTTATTTGAGTTGTAATTAATTATGCATATCATCTTATATTTCTTTTTTGACTTCGTCCGAGTTTCCTTTTATTATTATTATTATTGAACTAAAATTATTTTATTTTATTATATTTTATTTACGGAATCCAATAAATGTGGTATTTAACTATTCTTAATTGTTACACTGAATTATGTTGCCTTAGCCACTTAGTTCTGAAAATGTATGAGTGTTAATAATTGTTGTTAAATAAATAAACATTTTAATTCATAAGTTTGTAAATGTTTTTTTAAATGACAGCATATTATGTAATTGTAGACGTATATGTAGGGGATTTATTTGATCATATCTTTAATAAGGTATTTTTAATTACAAGATGACCTGTGCCCACGGCCCGTGCAACCTGGTCGTAAGGTCAAGCAATTTAGAGGTATGTAATATTACGTAATCAATTTAATTGGCTTACAAATATACACGTAATTATATATCATGGAACGCGAAAGTTTACACATTAATATTTTATTTTCTTCAAAGTTATATCTTTCAATTCTACTTTTTATATTACTACTGTAATATACCTACTATATTGACTGTAAGCAAATACAATAATCAAATAGATTACCTATTTATAAATTCAATGTAAGCAAATTTTATGTTTTATGGATATCGTAATTTCGTTTCATCGAATTCACTGTTGATAGATATTTCTAAAAGCGTAAAACTTGTCGGTTGGTTTATTTTTGTTCAATACGAAATACTTTAGTAATAGTCTGTCATTGAGGGGTAGATAGTCCATGTGTTAGGAATATCTGTCCAAAATACATACCAAAGCAAAATATATACTTTAATTAATAACTGAATGCAGTTTTTGTTAAATTTTAAAGTTAATATTTTATTTAAGTAGATTTTTTTCGTTTCTTTTATACAACTTTATGTGGAAACGAAATGCCAAAAACTAGCACATTTATATTGTCACACCACGATCTACAGCAATCCAGTGATGCAGTGACCATACACATTAAAAAGCGTGTAAAGCTGCGAGATACAGAAATTAAAATAAATAAAAAGATACGAAGCGTCTTTTAGAAGTTTTGAATAAATAACGACCTCACTCACGAGAACATAATGGTGTTTACGCTATTGTATGCAAATGCTATTAAAACTTTTCTTAATTCCATTCTTTTTACTACATTACGCATTTTTACAACTTTATATTGTTAGTAAATTTAAACGGCTGCTAGTAGGGAAGGCTGCTATAGACGAGTATATTTAGGTCGGCCCCCGCCCGAAGAGGTACGCAAGTGGCGTGAGGCCAGCAGCACGGGACCCTTTTCTTCGAACTGACTCAGGTCCTTTCGGGGCACGGCTGCTTCGGGAAGTAACTGCACTCGGTTGCTAGAAGGGTATTGAGCCCCGCCTGTCACAACTGCAATTGCAGTGAGAACTCGGCTCAGCATACGCTGGTGGTTTGCCCGGCTTGGGCGTCGCAGCGTCGGGTTCTCATTTTGTAGTCTTTGGTGAGAATCTGTCGCTACCGGCCGTCATACGCTCCATAGTCGGTACTGACAGTTGTTATACCGCAGCCGTATCTTTCTGCGAAGACGTTATCTCGCACAAGGAGGCGGCGGAGAGGGCCCAGGAGGATGATCTTCACTCGAACCAATTCGCCGCTGACGAAGTACTAACCGGGCGGCAAAGGCGCGCTTGCCAGCGCCTCATGCCGCCCTGAGTGTGGCCGTGACGTCCGCGTGTACCGGACGTCGCCTCAATAAAGAATGGTTGTGCCTGCGCCTTTGAGGTCGAGGGTCCCGGGCCTGAGGGGATTTCCATACGTAAAAAAAATACGAGTATATTTATGTATGTTTAAGTTCTCTCTCTTAAATAAACGGAATCGATAAATTTACGCCTGCTATACCTACCTACTATAAGCTAATTTAAATTGTTATAGGGAGCGTCAACAAGAGACAGAACAAGTGAACAAGAGTATAGCGCTTCTTAAATCAATTAAAAAATATTTTCTAGTGCCATTGTTTTAGCACTACATCTACGTGCCTATTATTGGAGGTAGTGAAACGTATAGTGACGTCAGAGCGCGTCACGTATCCACGCCGCGGGCCTGTGTGTCGCCTCGCTCACCTCGTGAAAGCGCTGCGTTCCGGCTCGTTGGACCGTTTCTACAACACATAGCCACATCAATACACACTGATGTGTTCATGTTTTTCTAATCATTTACGTAACATATGAACAAAACAATCAATGATAGAAACTCGCAATATTTTGGAAATAAGTTATTTAGCTGTTATTACAAAACTATTTGAAACTTGACCTGTCTCAGGTAAGCCTTATACGAGTACTTCCAAGGATCAAGATGTCTAATTAGTTTTGTCAACCCTTAATTATATATTATATAAGGTGTTATTCTGTTATTCGACTCAGCAAGTTTGAAATTTTCCATGCCCATATGACAATTGTAATGAAAAATAGGTTTTTTTTGTAGGTCTCAGATAACTGTTCTTTTAATTTCAAAATAAGTATAAGAGTATGGAGAGTTATAATTTTATTATTATGGTGGTGTGGTGACGGATTAAGAATACAAATTGTCACCACCCCAATTCATCAAGTGGGTGTCGTAAGAGCCGACTAAGGGAGCAAACTAAGCAGGACAACAGCACTGCAAAGAGAAGGAAAACTTGAAACAAACCCTATACCAACCCGTCTGGCCAGCGTGGTATAGTAGGCCAAAACCTCCTTTCTAAGGAGAGGCCTATGTACAGCAGTGGACTAGTATAGGCTGTTGATGTGAAATTAAATAATCATATTATATATAATCCTTATTATATAATCTGGCAAACGTTGTTTTGCCATATACCTTATTTATTGGGTATAGAAAAAAAAATATAGGGGTGGGTCTCCCTTGTCATTAACTGGTATAAAAAATAAATTTTGGCCGATTCTCAGACCTACCTGATGTCCACACAAAATTTCATAAAAATCGGTCCAGCCGTTTCGGAGGAGTATGGTAACTAACATTGTGACACAAGAATTTTATATTTAAGATAATCCTTATTATATAATCTTTAACAAAAAAAAATATTAAAGATTTGAATCAAATTTCGAATTAAGATAAAGCTAGTAAAAAAACACCATCGCCAAGAGCGTAATAATTTATAGTAACCGAGTTCAAATCCTAATGAAACCAGGAGTTACAACCCACTTCAGACAAGTACGAGTGCAGTTCCGTAGGACTGTAAACTTTTGAAGTTCCTTATATACTGTACTAAGTAAAGTCTCAAAATCTCTTTAAGATACTGAAGTTAAAAAGCTCGTTCTGTAATTTAGAAGGAAAACACACTAAGACTGTTTTATACACGATTACTCTTAACATCATTTGAAGTTGGTTCG